TAAAGTAATCCATGTTTCTCTAAGACAGACATGCTACAAATAGCCATATATATTTTAGCCAGAGTGTTTTCCCCTTTCTGTTTTCAATCATTTGTGCCCTAAGAAAGCTGGTAAGTTTCCAGAGGGCAACAAAAAAAAAGGTAAAGGGAAATAAAAAATTAAGGAAATATTAATTTATGAAGCTATTGCAGTTTGTATTTTTGATGATTTGTTTAGATTAGCTGGGTTCCCTGAAAGACCTTGTTCATTAAATACCAGTAAAATAATTTAAACATATATTTTTGTATATGAAACTAGAACAGAAAATTTGTACAGGCAAAATCTCCAAGGTAATTAGCTTAAAACCAGAATACATTCCATTGTGCCAAAAGATAATGGGGGGGTGACTAAAGTATACATTATATGTTGTGTTCTTTCTTTATACTGGATGCAAAAAAATACTGTAAGTAAACTTGTTTTTATTTTTAATAAGATTATTATTTTGATAAAAATAGCATGCTACTAATTTCTTTTAAAGCTTTTACTGTACCTTTTACACTATCAAAAAACCAGCTGCACTCTCAATTTTAATCCACAAAGAAAGCTTATGCTGTTGGGTCATTAGTTGCTGACACCTGGGTCTGTGATCCTGATGGGCCACTCTCGAACACATCTGGCTCTGTTCCTTCTGAGGTGGCCACCAATCAGCACCATTTAAGACACTGAAGGTGTGCTGCCATAGCTTTTTTGTAAAAGCAAAGAAGTGTAATCTTTCTCTCTGCTCTTTCTGGTGTTGCCCCAGTTCCACGCTACTTGGCCTGTAGCATTATTGACAATCTATGTTCCATCGGCAGCACATATCTGCAGCCCCACTTCCTGAGCTGTGGTTGGCTACCAGTGTCTGTAGGCACAGCCGTACCTGCCCCATACTCTGAGGGGAGGAGGGGTACAACTCAAAAATACTTGAATGATCATATTTTTTAAAAATGCTGACAGTAAAAGACACTTTGTCATTACTCTCCCTGAAAATACTCTTCCTTGGTTCAAACGCACTTATCCCATTTTTGTGGCCACTCTCTGAAGCAGTCCCGGATGTCCTCCTCCATGAGTGTCTTTAGTTGCGCTGTCACGATTACCTTGACATCTTGAATCAATTGCAAATATGTACCTTTCATGGTCATTCTGACCTTGGAGAAAAATCAGAAGTCACATGGTATTAGATCAAGTGAATAAAGTGGATGGGGACACATTTTAAAACTTCTAATTGATAGAAATTGTCATGAACATTTGATCAGTAAGAGATATTCAAAAAGAGTGAGTGTTTAAATTTTAAAAATTATTACAGCAAAAGACACATTGCCACTAATCCCCCCATAAATACTCTCCCCTCTTGCAACCACACTTATCCCATCATTCCTGGTAATGTGTTTTTTTACTGTAATAAGGGTTTTTTTCATCTAATCATTCAACATAGTTTTCAGTTCCTCCCTGTATGTACACACTCATTTTGGAATTATGTGCCGCCTTCTTGCTCAGGACCCACGGGACTTCCTGTTTCCATCCTCTGAGTTTCTTCCCATTTCTCAAGACACCTAACAGATTTCACTGATTGGTTATAAATCAAGTTTGGTACCAAGTAAATACAATTTCTAGGGAGCATAGTTCTTACATGTCTCTATTTAGGGTGCAACAATTTTCTCTCTACTCCTTGCTTCCTACGTCAATGTCAAGTCTCTTTTCACAACATACGGTCCCCAGCTCCCTGACCTGGCCAGCAATGGCCTTTGGTATGGACCCTGGTCAAATGCCTTAAAAATAAAATCTTTTCTTTACCCCTCCTTTTCACCATCCTCTTGTATCTACGGAAAAGGCACTTTTAAAAAAAATCTCATCATTTTTGTTGTCACCTTTCTCCTTCGCAGAGTCAGTCATGTCACTCACTCTTTAAATCCTTAAGGATTTGCCCAGTGCCTAAGGGAGCAAGGTCTGAACTTGCCCAGTAGAGGTGTGCTTACCAGGATCTAAATCTGCCCACACCCCTCCAGTCCTTCCCCCTGACAGGGTCACATTTGCAATCTGGCACAGTAGCTTGCATAACAATAGATCCAGTGGCCTAATTTCATCCTTGAGTTCCTGCAAAACTCTCATTCAGCTGCCCTCCATGCGGTGATTTATCTAGATTTATTGTGTCAATTTGGCAGAATAGCTCAGATACAACCAATGTTAATATAATCAATCTTCCATTTCTAGGAAAAATACAGGACTGGCAATCTTTTCATGATCTTCTTCATTAAAAGCTAAAGCTTAAGAACTCCCTCATGAGTATCATCGCTTCATCCTTTGGAGAACTCTCCAGTCTGACATCATCTGTGCTCAATCCTCTCCCCTGAGTTAAATTGTTCTCTCTGACTCATTGAAAGGAAGTTGTACTGCTCTTGAAGACTCAACGTATAATGCTCCTCAATTCCTTTGCATTTTGAAAACTGCCTTCTTGGCATATTATTCCTAATCTTCCATGCTTCCGAGACTTTTCTATTTTTGCTCTTTGAAACATGTTCCCACCTAAGAAAAGAAATTGATTATTCCCTTATGCAAAATATTTAATACCTCCAGTTATCCACGCAATTGGGAATGCACGGACTTGAGATGATTTTGAAAAAGGTGGTTTTTACAAAACCATTGCATTTTTAGAACAGCTACCTACTCTAAAATTAATAAAACAAAATTCATGAATAGATGCTGAAAATGTTAGGGACACATTATAGTGATTAATACCCTTCCATTAATATAACAAATTCATTGATCACTAATTTTGTGTTAAACACAGTACTGGGCACTGGAAATTTAACTGATTTAGGAGAATCATTTCTGCCCCCCAGGTTCTCAGAGTATGGAGTCACATTGCAGACATGAAAATAAACAAATCAAGGTCACTTCTTGTGATTAATGTCACATAATAGGCAAAAGTGGAGGAGGGAGGGATGCTCATCTCCCCATCCAAGGCAGGAGCTATTTTAAGAGCAAACTGAATGATGGCATTGTTCAGCATCTCCAAGAGTGGATGGGAGAGTCCTGGACAGACCGTCAGGGAAGGGTAGGAGCCAGGAGGTACAAAACAGGGTGACAGTAGCACAGCTGCAGAAATGGTAGGAGCTGAGACTGGAAGAGACAGCTAGGTATGCCATGAGAAAAAAATTAAAACTTCATCCTGTGGGAAAAAAAGAGGTGAGGAGCATTTTAAACATGGCATAATATAGTCAAATTAATTTATAAGCGTGCAAGCAGCAAGATCATTTTGGAGGTTATTACTGTGGTAAAGCAAGAACCCAGAGAAGCAATGACTGTGGAGGGAAGGGATGGATTCCATATACAGTGAAGAGAGATATTTGAGTCTTTCAAATGTTTGTCAGGACAGTGGTGAATTAAGGAAGAGCAAGAAATCAAGGCGAGGGTAACATCTGCTCCAGTGTTCATTTTTGGATAACATGGTAGTTCTAACAACCAAAAGAGGGGTGGAGGAGGAAAAGCTGTTAGTATTAGGGTTGGTCTATGTGTTGTGCAAGGGCTCTGTAAAGATAATGAGTTCTGTTTTGAACACACCTGGTTTTGCGTGAGGTATCCAAGTAGTGAGTTTTCATAAAGAATTACACAAGCCTGGTGCTCAGGCCTGGAAATATATTGGGGAAATCACCACCATCGGTCAGTTTTGTACCCTGGCTATCTGTATTCCAGGTGCTATGCTAAGAAAGAAAGCAACAAAGATGAAAAACAAATGATTTCTCTCAGAAGCCTACTAAGGAGCAAAGAAACCTACAAAGGAACATACATAAATCTTATTCATATAAGTAATTTATTCTATGTACTAGAGCATTGGCAATACAGACTTTGTTTACTTCTCAGCCCACATTATTATTTTAAATAACTCTTGATCATTCTTAAGAGTAGCAACTATCAAAGCAATAAATTAATAATATGACACTCTTTCTAACTTCAAAGATACAAGAATACAGTGGTGGACGTGGTTCATGAACTTGATTCTTTCCACAATTCTGGTTGCAAACCAAGTTGAACCAGAACTGAATCAAATTCAATGACTAGGTTCAATGAATCAAATTCAATGACCTTATGGAGAAATTTGATTCAGTTCTCTTCCAGTTTTGTTTGCAACCAGAATCATGGAAAGAATCGAGTTCATGAACCAAGGTATGACTGTACAGTTCATTCCAACTAGAAAATAATTTAGCTGAAACACTATACTTCTTACATTATGCCCTGTATGACACATTTTGTGGAAGATCAGTTTCTCATACTTTCTAAATCAATGAAAGTATTTGTGTCAATTTCAGTAATAGTAGAACTCTTCAAATGGAGCTCTCACTTTTCCCTCTTTAAAATACCAGCTTTCTTTGAAAACTAAATATGTCCTGCAATCACAGTTGCCTTGGATAGGAAATGATAGTTGAAATAAATAGTGATGGAGAAGGGTAACTATGGGGATAGTTACCCTAACTCAAATTCAGGAATGCGATGACAAGAAAGACACTTCTGGGCACTGGGGATTTAGCTCAGCGGCACAGTGCCTGCCTGGCAAGTGCAAGGCCGTGAGTTAGATTCCTGGTATGGGAAAAAAAACAAAAACTAAAAAAAAGAAAGACACTTCTGAAGATTGTTTAAATAAGTTAGAGAGACTCGAATCATCCTGCACACAATTATTTTATGAAACCCCAAGTTAAATGCATGTTCTATTATTTAAATTCATAGTTAGCTATCAGCCCAGTTTTGCAAGTGAGATTTACAAAAAAATAAACTACAAATTCTGATGTAACTTGAAAAAAGGGAACTTGAATAGACCAGTTTTCAGAAATGCATGTTGAATTGTGCTCAACCTTTTCTACAATGAATGTGCTCGCAGAATGCATGCGGTCATGTATCCTTTGATTTCTACAGAAGAGAAGATGTCAACATCATTACTGGCTGTGCTCCAAATGACACCATGTTTTTTTTCTATTACCACGAAACAGGGAAGGCCACGGTAAAATCTCAGTATTTGCTGTCAAAATGGCTTTAGCCACACTGTGTGGAGGGAAGATCATGGACAAGCTAAGATGTAAGTCGCTCTTCTTTGTGTCTCCTGGTGGTTATCTGTGCTCTGTGCACCTCCTCTCCCTTAGTCCTGTGTGCTGTCCTGCCCATTTGTGTGTTTCCTCATTCTATGAGAATCATTTGGAATGTAACCTTCCTTGATCTTTGGATTTTGTCATAGAAATACTTTCATATTAGATAAATGTTAAATGAAATGGATGTTTTCCTCCACTGATGGATTCATATCATTTAAAATTTGAGTATCACCAGCTGGATTCTTCCTGATATCAACATAAGACAAGCATTTTTTAGTTCATTGTGCTGTGCTATATTACAGGTAGTTGATCAGTTTAAAGATGTAAAAGTTCATTGTGCTGTGCTGTATTACAGGTAGTTGATCAGTTTGAAGATGTAAAAAACAAATCAGGCAGCAATCACCTTTAGACATTTTAGTGCCAAAGGTGCTGGCACATTTCCACATTCTCCTCGGCCCGTCCCATTCGAGTCACTGGGAACTCCACAGATTCCAATGCAGATATTGCCAGGGAATAGGCATCGGAATTATATAGAGATTGTGTAGCTAAAGATAGCTAAAGAGCATTGAGTGATTATGTGTCTTTGTGTATGTGTTCTTACTAACCTCAGTGCAGTTTTTAGCCAATAACACAGTGGGTTTTTTGTTTTATTTTGTCTGCTATGATATAAAAAGCCAAGCCTCATAAAATAAGTCACATACATAAGATGGTGCTGGGATTTAAATCCTGACCCTTTTTTTTATAGCAATGTTCCTCAAATTTTAGGATACTTTTTAAACTTTTGGTTCCATCCCCAGAATTTCTGATGCAGTAGGCCTCAGGTAGAAATGCAAAGTAAGAATTTTCTTTTTGAACTAGATTAAAATGATGCTGATGCTGATGCTGATGCTGATGCTGATGCTGATGCTGATGCTGATGTGTATAAGTTTCCTTTAAGTCTTCCACCCATTGCCCTAAATCTGAATTTAGGTTATAATGTGATGTTAAAAGGGCACTGCTATGGGTGGTAGAGTTCCACCTATGGGACTAATTTGCCGAGTAACCCAACACTGCTTTTACTTCACTTCTTTGGTCCTCAGTTTTCTTCCACAATATGAATCTGGGGATTTTACTCACTACCTATAGCATCACTTCTAGCTGTGGCCATCTGTGACTCACAGCCATAAGATTATGAGGTTTTTGCTTTGCTTTGTTTTTGTCTTTTTGAGGCAGTGTCACACACTGCAGCTCAGATTGACCTTGAATTGACTTTGTAGCCCAGGCTGGCCTCACACTTGCAGTTATCCTCCTGCCTCAGCTTCCAGAGTGCTGGAATTGCATGCGTGCACCACCCTGCCTGCCCATCATATGTCTTTTCTTCTTTGCCTGTCAGTTTCAGAGTGCACTTTTTGCTTCTCAAGTGCCAAGAAAAAGAGTGAAGGAAGATACAGAAAAGCTCTTTGCTCCTTTGGAATTTCCCCAGACACACTTCCAGGGAGAGTTTTCTCATTGGACCAGTAAATAAGTATAGGGAAGCATAATACACAGCCCCAGGTGACCACCTGGTTCCCCTCATTCCCTGGGACTTTCTTCTAAGAACAAGCCAAGTGCAGCCAAATTCAGAGCCATCCACCCAACTTCGTGAGGGTCAGGCTAGTCTCCGTATAGCCCAAAGGACCTAGACGATGAAAATTACCGGCCTCATTGCTTGGTTGAGCGATCAGTTCTGGAACCAATGGTATTAAAAAGAGCTGGGAGAAGGCTTCGCAGTAACTGGAGGCATTTCTTTCAGGGTTAGACTAGCAAGAGAAAATTTAGCAAAGTGAACCGAAGCAGAGAAAGAAACCCCTGAGGGCCTTGCCTGCTGGTCTCACATCACACTTAGCCATGTATGCTCAGAGCATTAGATAAATCCAAGAAACTAGTGATAATAATACTTGTCCAATATTATATTAATTGGTACCTGGATAAAAAGATCCTATGTTAGAATATGTTTGCAGAAAACTGATAAAACAAATTTTCTAAACTTCAGGACTCCAGCCCTCAGCTGTTCCATGTTAATCCTGTGCCCCCAAACACACAAGCCTTCCCGTGTTTCCCCTCCGCTTTCTCTTCATCAGGCATCATCTTTCTCCAAAGGAAAAGGGGGGCTTGGCAGTTTCAGGAGTCTCATCTCACTCCAGCCTTCAAGTGTCATTGCCCAGGGTGGCATCCCAGACCAATTACTAACCCAGGGACTGTTAAGAGGAAACGCCTGACAGACATTCTGACCATGTGGAATCCATTTCACCTGTTGGGCTGGGAAGGTCCACCCTTTTCTCTTAGTTGAGGAAAATATTTGACACCAATAAATTCAGCAATTACCAATCTCAGGCAATTTTTGGACAGATCCTTACCAGTTACAAGAACCATGGCAAGCACAAGAATTCAAAGAAAATGGTACATGCTGTAGAGTTTTCTCCCCACCCCATCCTGTCTCCCTCCGAGAAGCACAGTCAGTGAGCAAAGTAGGCCTGCTGTCAGGCAGCCAAGTCAGAACTCCTCAGTACATCAAAGGAAGCAACCAAGCATAAGTTCCACTTGAGACAGACGAAGTTCTCCAGGCTTTGGAAACCAGCATCACCGTGTCACAAATGCTGTAGAAAAGCAGGTAGTATGACCATGATGTGTCATGTTCCTCTCTCTGAGAGCAAGAGATCTGAATCATAGTCTCTTGTGTCCCTAGTTCTCCAATTGAGGAAGCACTGTTCACATTGGCACTTGTAGAACGGGAACTTCATTGGATTCCAAGTAACTTGTTTGAAGAAATTTGACAAAAACAATTATTTGGAAGCAATTTGGTTAGAAGAATCTCTCCAAAATGTTAATGAGTCAAAACTGATTATCTTTAGTCACCAATATTTCTAGTTCCAATGACAATTATTGGCTGAATGAGCAATTGTGCACAAATACGCCCATAGACAGCAATGGCTGACCCTTGGTAATTGGGGTTGTAGGTATTTTCTACAGTCTATTACTGGCTTTCATTTCAGCAATAAAGCAGACAAGGTCATGGTTTCCTACATTACTTTCATAATTAAGAAAGAGTACAGTCAACGGACATAGAATTTTTTAGGGTTTGAATGTTTTATTTTCCCTTCCATAAATTTTTCTAATCCACTTCATGTCAGTGTGCCAGCTGTGCTTGTTTGGCAGTCTTTCTTTCTGTGTATAGGGAGGAAGGATGTCGAGTTTGTTCCCACCAGCCCCTTTTTGTTGGAGAGCACAGAGCAAGGATAATTGGCTAAGCGTAAATTAGAAATTTTAAGAAATGAAACTAGGAGAAAACAGCAGAAAAGGGAAGCTGATTTTTTCATGATTTAAAATATAGAAAAAGCGGCAACAACTCCATGTTGCATCGCAATTTCTAATACTCGGGGCCAACATCAGCTGATTTGCAGTGTTGGCTGTGTCATTCCAAAGACCAACACTGACCCAGCGTAGGAGAGGACGGGCACCCCCGCAATCCGAACAAACTGGCTAAAGCACGCCTGTTCTGCTCAGTTGTTCATCAGAGAAGAAACTACTGTTTTCATGGATTGGATCACCTGTTCATACTTCTTCCTAGGGGCTTTTTCAACAGTCCTAAGGATCATAAGGAATTCTAAGTCTACTACTGTAAGATTGGCACATCACATACTGTTCTACATCTGTTAAGGAGAGTTTGTTTCTCCTGCTCAAAAGACTAGCATTATGACAAATGTCCGCATTTATTGAGTCTATAACGCTGACCCCCCTAGCCTTCCCCCAAGGCCACCTCCAGGGTAGTGTTTCTAACTCCCTGGCCTACTTTAGGTTCTCTAGAAACTACCTCAGCATCCCCCAGACACAGTCCACACATTCTTAGCGGAGCTTGCAAAGCCCTTCCTACATCAGCCTCCCCTTGTACCATGCTTGACTGCAGCCAACTCCTGCTCAGACAGTGCTGATTGCAGACCCTTAAGTGCACTCTGCTTGTTCTTCTTTCCATGCCTGTGCTGCAATCCTGGTCCTGCATCCCTGCACCCACTCTCCTCATCTGTGCCTGCCTCGCCCATCAGTGGCCTTTACCCTTGGCCCTGCCTCACTTCTCCCTCTGGAAGGCTTCTCTCAGAGTTTCTGCTCCATACTACCCACGCTCATTCCAGTGTTCACACCATGATATAAAGTCTGTGATGTCCTGTCATGCACCCAGCAAGCACTCCTCTGCCATTCTAAAGCCCAGAGGGCAAGAACTACATCCTAACCTTGCAGTGTATTTGCTGCTTACCACAGTTGCACAAATGTAGTATGTGCTAGCTGGCTTTTAATTGAAAGAATCAGTGAATGTAAATTCTTCTAAAATATCCACATTTGCATGGTGCTATGGGAAATACAAAAGTGGTGTAGAATTTGACTTTGACCTTTTATAGGAAATCCTACTGGGGAGGCAAAGCCTAAGGATCTGAAATTCATGACAGAATAATGCATTGTGAAATTAATATGGAGTCTTATGGGCAAACTGTGACTCTAAGTGCTTTACAAGTACTAAGTACTTCTATTAAATAAGTTAATCCTTGAAACAGCCACTCATATATATAAAATATATATATTATATATATGAAATCATCATCATATTACCTAAAGCCCAAAACTAAGCTACAGATACATCATTTTGTTCAGTTCTTCAGAGTCCCTTCATTTCTTTTTTCAAAATCTGAGTGGCCATTAATAGCCATTGCCCATTCATCACAACAGTCTAGCCCAGGTTGGCTGTCTCTTAACAGATCTTCATCAGCACACATGATGTCAGTTCTAGTTTCAAGTGTGTGGAAGGTCACAGTTGGTGCTCCATCTCCTTTTGCTCTAGTCAGAGATGTCTAAATTCTTCAGGGGGTGATTGAAAAGCTACTAGGTGACTGAACAGCCTACCAGGCTACTTTACAAAGTGTACCCTGATCTGGGAAATGAGAGCCTAGAAGACACTTTAGACGACCCTGTGATGACTTACCCCAAAACTAGCAAGGTGGCCACTCTCTTCAAAAAGTCAATTTTCTTTTCCTAAGTTGCTTTTTCTCCCTTTCAGTTGAAAGTCTTCAGCTCCTGTTTTTGGAATTACATGACAGTTTTTGCTATTGGCAGCTTCTTTTTTTGGTTTTTGACTAGTTATAATGGAACATGAGGTATAATTCCCTAAGTAAATAACATTTTGAAAATGGATGAGAACAACACTAATGTTTTTGTTCAGATAGAATTTCTTTTGTAAGATGACAAACATTTTATGTAGTTGTAGTGTGCAACATGTTTTGATGTATAAATATATCACAAAATGGTCAAATTTTTCAAATTAACATATACATTGCTTCACAGAGTTTTTTCTTTTTATTTCTAAATTTTTTCTTTAATGTAATCCCAGTAGACATTAAGAAAATATAAAAGCACCCTTACTTCTATCAAAAATAAAACAAAATTTCATAACAAAATAACTAGAGAATGAGAATGATTAAAATAATATGTATTATTATCTTAAAAGAATGGTCAAACTGTTAGTCAGAGTACAGGTCATAGACAAAAGAAAGATTCTCTCTTGCAGAGAAGAAATAAACAAATACAAGGACAAAATTTTTTTCAATAAACACACAAACTTAAATATTACATTTTTTCTCTTATATGAGAAATTTATATACACATACACACACACACACATACATAAAGAACAAAATAGAAGATAGATAAGTAGGAAGTACAGAGAAGTTTAAATGACTCCCAAATTATCTATTCTGTTGTCTCAACAATATTTCACATAGTTATTTGGATAATCTATAGTGAGAACTCATCACATCTATTCTCTTTTGCTGTTTTGAAAAGTACAGTATGCTGTCATGAGCTACAATCACCATGCCATAAATAAATCTCTTGAATGTGTTCCTCTTCTCTAATTGTAGTTATTTATCATTTGACCAACATCTACCCAACCTCCACCTCGCACCACCACCATCCCCCTCCAGCCTACAGTAACTGCCATTCTCCTCCCAACTTCTATGAGATCAACATTTGTACATTTCACATAGGAGTAGGATGATGCTATATTTAGTTCCCTGTGCCCAGCTTATTTCACTAAACAAAATATCCTCCAGGTTCATCCATGCTGTTGCAACTGACGGGGTATGCTTCTTATGATGGATGTGTATCATATTTTCTTTATCCATTCACCTACTGGCAGACACTTAGATTGATTACATTTCTTAGCTATTGTAAACAATACTACAATCCACAGGAGCGAAGATATCTCTTCAACATACTAATTTCATTTCTTTTAGATATATATCCAGTAATAAGATTGCTGGATCATGGGTAGTTCTATTTTTAATCTCTGTGTTACCTCCACAGTGTCTTCCATAATGAGTGTATTAGTTTATATTCCCACCAAGAGTGAAGGAGGATTTGCTTCCTCCAAGTTCTCTCCAACGCTTGCTAATCTCTTTGATAACAGCCATACTTACTGGAGTGAGATCATATGTAACTGTGGTTCTGATTTGCACTTCTCTGATGAGTAGTGATATTAGGTGTTTTTCATCACCTACCATTCATTTGTCTGACTTCTGGGAAGTATGTATGTGTACCTTTTGCCCATTTTTAACCAGGTTATTTGTCTTCTTCTTATACAGTTTTTTGAGTTCCTTATATATTTTGTGTATTAACCCCAGATAGAATTTCTATATTCTCATAATTAATGAACTATTTGAAACATGGTATAAATCTTTTGCAATTGGTGCATTTAAGAAAATAATAGTTAATTCACAACCTCAAAACACAATCCATTGAAAGACTACAGTATGTTTACTAACATTTGGTTACAGTGTAAAGGCAATGTTCTCATATTACATTTTGACCTCAGAAATTCAAAGCTAAAATGTATGAATGGAGTACATTGAATTTACAACAGTTTATCCCAGCAGCTCCTTGGGCCTAGCAGCAATCTGGCTAACATGGTGATAAATGAATAGCAAACCTTTCATTCTGACAGTGATTTCCAAAGAGGAATTACAAAATACCTTGGGAAATTACTCCATTAATATTCATTAAATGAACATAGTAGCAGAAACTGAAGATCAGAGGTTCAGTGAAATCAGAGTGCTTTGGAGAATAATCCAAGACGCTGACTTTACCTCATTGATCATCCACAAGGCCAGGTTTTCTCTTCACTACATGAGTCAAAAGACCCTTCCCTATAAATCAAGTGCCTTCCACCCAGAACACTATGATTTATAATAAGTTTTCTGCTTCTGTGGGAAGTTAATGGTGTTTCTGTTACATCTTTATCCTTGCTGTATCTTTCATTTTTCACATATTTTAAACCAAAACCTAAATGTTTTGCTGATGATATAGATGGATAATGGCTAAACAGATAGACACACAGCCGACCTCTCATTGTGTGCTTCAAATGAGGTCAACAAATACCTCACACATATAAAAATTACCCCTACTGAGTTGTATGTGAATAGATAACTGACCTCAGAATAAAAATGTGACATTTTATGCTCTCAAACTATGTTAATTTTCCCAAATGACCAGTTTATGTTTGTGTGCCAGAATCACCAATGAGAAGACACCAGAGAAAACACCATGCCAGAAATATTTAAGTATAAAAGTTAGCCTTTATAGTATTCCTTCATAAAAATAATACACTTACTCTGCCACAGTTTTCATTCTTAGTAGCAGATATGTTGACCTGAGATAGTAGAGAATGTTTGTGTGATGAATAAATACCTTCATCCTTTCCCTTCCATCAGATATTTTCTCGATGATTTCTGACTCCAGCGGAGTGATGGTTTATGGACGATATGACCAGTTCCTTCGAGAAGTTCTCAAACTACCCACAGCAGTGTTTGAAGGTCCTTCATTTGGTTACACAGAACAGTCAGCTAGATCCTGTTTCTCCCAACAGGTAACATTTTAAAGGAAACATCTCTCAAGCAGCTGCTGCTCTCCTTATGTGTGTCCTTCCCAGTCATAGATGCACAGACATTTCTACCTGACAATGTCCTGGAGTGTAGCTCTAGCCTCTGACAAATGCCTTTTGAGCCAGGTCACTAACCCAATATACCTGGATCATAATAGTCACTAGTGTTCACTGACCATGAGGCAAGCACCATACTAATTTCTTTACTTTCTTCGTGTAATTTCATCCTTACAATTTTGGCATCATTATTATTATCATGCACTGTCAAAAGGACTGAGCTGTCCCTCAGCCTCACGGGAGGCACTTATCTGACCCAGTACCAAGTTTTAGCAATGCTCAGCAAAGGACAGAAGAAAGGAGTCACCACAATGCGACCTGAGTGGCCCAAAGCATGGCAAACACAACTACATCTGCCATGATATGATGCATTTAGGGTTATGAATGATGTGTTTGAACTGGGCATAGGGAAGGCTCCTTGGTTTTGACCCCCTGTGTTTACATGGAACAAACTACAAGCCCACTCTCCAGCACAGTGCAGTAGGTTTGTTTACAGTCTTCTGAAGGTTGTTTGCAATCTTTTAAAAATACAAACTAGCCAGGTGTGCCCTCCACCAGGATCCCATAAATATGAAATCAGTGCAAATAAAATAAAAAATAATTGCTAAAAAAATTAGTTCATAGCAACCCCTGGAAAACCGCATTGGTTGTCCAGCTAATGAACATCAGTCTGTTCCCTTGGAGGCCTGGGAGAATGAAACTGCTTCAGGTATCCCTATGAATCATGAGTTTAGGTAGACTCACAAGTATAGCTATACAGTTAATAAAGAGACACAATTTATTTGATAAATCTAGCTTTGCTACTTTATCTTCTCACCCAGGAGTCCTTATAACCCTCCCTGTGGCCCCATGTGCCCCCGTAGATACTCTTGTGTGTTCCTTCTAGCCTCTGCCCCCAGCTAACATATTGTCTTCTTTCAGTAATTTCTCCTTGGAGTTACTTCTAAACATACCCTGGTACCTGTTACTGATCCTCCCTTTACCACTTCCTCCCTCCGTTTCCTAGCTTCTGAGGACCACCTTTTCATTTTTTTCTTCTCTGAAATCAACTATTTCACCTTCTACATGAGAACATGCAGTAGCTGTCTTTCTAGGCCTGGCTTTTATTAACTGAAAGAGGAATACAGTAATCTTCCCATGTTAGACATTCTCTTTTAAATATCCTCCAGAATGTCCCATTATATCATCATTTAAATATCCTTAATGAAAAGAAATTTCTGGCCAGGTGTGGTGGCACACACCTGAAATCCCAGCACTTGGGAGGCTGGAGCAGGAGGATTGCTGTGAGTTCAAGGCCAGCTGAGGCTACATAGTGAATTCAGAACCAGCCTAAACTACATAGGAAGCCCTTTTGTCAAAAACTAAAAAAAAAAAATTTCTACATACGTAATTCTTCATAATGATAGTTTTGGAAATATCCAGGAGTGATTTTTAGCCAATATAGTGAATGATCAAGATGGAAAAGATCATCTGAAGTACAAAAAGAAATAACACATCAAAAATTACCAGGACCAATTTATTTGTGTCTTATCATTTTTATAATAGCAGTTTAAAGGGTGAAATTCCAAAAATGTCTAAAATATTTCATTGGAAAAAGTCCAAGTCATCCCAAATGATAGTTTTGAAAGACAATTTTTTTAGGTCATAAATTCTACTGTCTTTTTAAAAATATTATCTCATTGTCTATATTTTACATAGCATATTTAATAGTAAGATTGATGTCAACCTTTAATTTATACTGTGAAGTATTATGAAGAAAGACTGAAATTATAAATCTCTGCCGGTAATAAGAGATCAGTAAAGGGTACTTATTTAGTGAATTATAAGGATTAACATAGGCTACAGGCTTTAAAATATATTGTAACTCTTCTAGACTGATTTATTATTTAAAATATTAAAGTTTCATCCACTTTGATATGCTAGTTTGAAATGTCAAATACAATGGTTATTTCTGCATATAAATATGTAATTATTGTTCATAGTATCACAGAGCGTATGTTAACATAACATTACTTTTGTCACTTTTTAAAGAAATTTGATATAACACATTTTTTCCTGTATTAAAAAGGGCCACACTGAGGAAACCAAAGCAGACTGAATTGAGAGGAAAGATGAATAAAGGAAATAAAAAAAGAATTTATATGTTCTCTCCCAATCTAACATAACAGAGCAATTCACACTGACCACTAAATATTTATTCCTTCAGCCAGCTGAGCAGCTTGAAAGGAAAGTTGTCCATAAATTCTATGGAGAGTTTTAATTCCCCCTCTTACCCCATCCATAAAAGTAATGCTCTCAGAATTGTTCTACCCCTGGTTTTGCTATTGCTCAGTCTCAGTGGAAATAATCTTGTCTCGTACAGATTTAGGCATAGAAAGCAATCAGTGCTTTCAGTTCTGAACTGCATTAATAACAAATTTGGAAAATTCCATTTCTTCATCTATTAGAAGTTAATTGTATTGTTTGTTCAACCTCCAATGATATTTGCATAGCAGGTAAGATTATTCTCTGTTTTAAACTTTTGTGATTTTTTTTTGATGCAGAAAAAAGTCACATTAAATGGTTTCCTGGACACGCTCATGTCTGATCCTCCCCCACAGTGTCTGGTCTGGCTGCCTCTCCTGCATCGACTAGCAAATGTTGAAAATGGTGAGTAGTCACTATAGTGCAAAAGCAGCTTATTGTATTATTGAAAGAGAGACATCAACTCTTCAGTCATTCATCACATGGCAGTGTTTTAGGGATGTCTATTTAGTAGTTCTTAGTCTTGTTTTGGTTAGGACTAACCCATCTCTCTGACCAATAAAGCCTTATAAGACCACTGAACTTCTAAATACTCATTAAATCTCCTTGTGTAGCTCTGAATCACAAATCAGGTGTGTATGACAGAAGAACCTTAATAAGAACATGACACTTTCAAGTGTTTAGTTCAAATCTGAATTTCTCATATCAATATGCATTGTACTATTTCTTCCATGGAAATCAGTAAGGAACAGGTGTGAGGGATAGCAAAAAAATTAAATGAGAGCATCTTGCTAATCTTTAGTCACATGTTCCAACTTACAAGCTTTCAACAGTTGTCCTTATGGTACAGAGGAGATTTTATATTGTTTTTTAATCAAATATTTCTAGGATAAAAGTATTTGCTATTGGCATATCCAGATTTAAATATGTAATACAATTTAAGACAAGAGCTAGAGAATTTTAATCACAGAAGAATTCAATGCCTCTAATATTTACTTGTTCTTTATTGGTTAATTGAACTCTGAAATTTCTTCAGTTGGACAGAACATAATTTATCCCATGTATCTTACTGGAATCTGAATGTCTACATATTTCTTTCATATACTTTGGAGCTAAAGTTCACTTCACTTTAAATTTTCATTCAAAATTTTTAGCGACTGCCTTTATATTCTCTTTTAGTTAAAATCTATGAATTTATCCTGTTTTGCTCATTGATAAAATTTAAGGAGTGAACTTACTAGGTTTTCTGCAGTTAATAACAATCACTTTTTAATGAATCTTATCTATATGTAGAAGTAAAAAACAATCGAGGTCCATATTATGTTACAGGATGAGGGTTTTTTTTTTTTTTTTTGTACTCCCAGGACTAGTCATTTTTCAGTCATAATGCTGGAATTTCATTCACACTCTCTCAGGACTTCTTACTGCAGATCAGTTTCTTGAGCACTTGTTCAAGAATAGTTACTCTAGACTCAAGTCCCACTCTGTCATCCCCAGGTAACAGAAAACTTAACAATGTATATTTAGAAGACTGTGCACCCAGAACTGGCTATGTCTATGCATACTTTGCTTTTTAACCCCACTTATTCTTATTTGCGCTATTTTTCCTGGCTGGTTGATCAGAGAATAACTTTATCAGAGGCAAGAAATTCTCTTGTTCTTGTTGTTGTTGTTGTTTTTGTTTTAGTATCTTTAGTTATAACATGTAGAGATTTATTTGGAGTTGATCATTTATTAGCTCAAATCTCATATATTTTACCTTGCCTGTTTTATAATTCTAATTTCCTGCCCAAAATATATTTATTGAACAAAGTAAGTACTGTATTCAGGTACTTTACACACATCTTTGGCCCTATCCACCTGCCTCAGAAAAGAAAAATTATCAGTTAGATGAAGACAATATCACTGATTAAGTCAATGATTATTTTAAAAGTAACTCAATTGTCTCAAGCAATTTTTCTACTTGCCCCCCCCATGTCCCTTTGTTTATCTTCTGTCATTTTCCATTTATTTAATATTTACTCTCTGCCCACGGAACAGTTAACTGTGTTCATCTTTGTGTTTCTGAGTCTTCGGTGAGCTGTGCTGGTCTCCAGGAGACTGAGCAGTTTTGGGGAAAAGCAAAGTCATTTGGGTAATTTATGTTCTGTAAGAGATGAGAGAAAAAAGAGCAAATGGCATTACAGAGATTTGCGCCACTAATAGGACACCTGTTGTCCATCCCATTCCCCCAGCCCCACATGCATACTTGAAAAGTGTAGTGAGATTCCAGCAATAAACTTGATGCTTCTCTGAGCCAAACTTGACTGTTGTCTGAAGTCATGGCACACAGCAGAAAATGCAATTTCACTGAAGCTGGGTTTTTCCTTACTCTGGCTCATACAGTCATGTTCCTGTTTTTTCTTACTTCCCCCTTAGTCTTCCATCCGGTTGAGTGTTCCTACTGCCACAGCGAGAGTATGATGGGATTTCGCTACCGATGCCAGCAGTGTCACAATTACCAGCTCTGTCAGGACTGCTTCTGGAGGGGGCATGCTGGTGGCTCCCATAGCAACCAGCACCAAATGAAAGAGTATACGTCATGGGTAAGGCAAGGTCTGGGCAATACTTGCAGTTGGAGTGCGGCCCAGAATGAAAGGGACTGTCAAAGATGGGTATAGAATTAAGGAGCAGACTTAGCCCCTCCAACACTAACAGTCCTTGTCCCTTCCCTGCCATCCCTCTTTTACTGGAGTCTCTTACTTGTCCATCTGAACCCACTGTACCTTCCTGAGACTCAAAATACAGGAAGCCTCAAACTATATTACCCCTTGAATATAGACAATTCAGTACCGACTGAAATAGCAATTGAACAGCAAGCATCTTCTGGAGCATAGTCTTTTTTTCACAGTAAGGTAAAGATTCATTTTGTTTTTGTGGAAATTGCTGAAAAATATAGTCATTTTTTCTAGATCCTTGAGTACTAAGGAAAGAAACACGAGAATGTGAGATTACTGATACTGTTCCATTTTACCTTTCTTGCAGAGGGTGGGGTGGAGAGGCTGTGATTATATTAGCAAATCCTCTTTGCATGAATAGTGTAATTGACCAACTTGGTAAAGCTGACACATGAGTGTCTGTGTGATAGATGCATTTTCAGGAGCACATGGCATTAGGATTATGGAAGGAAATGGACTTTCTCAGAGGGCTTCTTGTATCAATGGTTTGCAGTTTTCTAACCTCTGTCTTAGTTAAAATCAAAGATCAGCTCTAGCAATATTGCTCTCATGCAATATCCAAGGATTGGTCTAAGAATGGATGGGATTGTTTTTTGTGGGGTATACCATCAGCCTTGCCAGTGCCTGTTGAAATAGTTCTATCACAGGAAAATGTAAATTTTTTAGGAGTTTTTCTAAATTTAAATTCAATATTTATTGAACTCTTTAAATATTCTATTTAATTCAATTCAAGCTGTAGTCTCTACTAAAAGCGTAATTTACTGTTCTTTTTTAAAAAAATAAAGGAGGTCTTCAGAATATGCATCTTACATCAGAACATTCTAGCAATCACATGGGCAAGTATAATGAACAACTATCATACAGGGAACTATAATGGGAAATTATTATACCCTGTAACTACATTAATAATTCATCACTTGTTGGATTTCAACATGAAATAACAGTTCTTCACCAAGGCCGAGTATCCTGAGCACTTTGTGCTGAGTCCATGTCCCCCTCATGGTGTGTTGTATCATGTGCTGAGGATAGTTGTAAGAACATGAATTATGACCTACAATTCAGTGCAAAGATGGGAGCAAACACTCTATTTTTTTTTAACTGTCAAGGTACTACTAGTTTTCAAACTGCTATCCCAGGGTTGATGTTTGAAGACTAATCATTTTTAGTTGTTTCATGTAAATGCTAAAGCCACATAGAAAGCCTCTTTCTTGGGGACTGAGAACTCCGACTTTGTGCAATAGGACACTGTCCTTACAAAGTTAGATCTGACTCTGCAGGAGGACAGCAGACCTAATGGTTTAAATGTTGTAAGAATTAAGTGACTTAAATGTGCTGATTTAAGTGTGGACTTTCATAAACAATGATCCTGCTACTTAGCTTTTAATTAATAACAAAGACAATAGTCACTTCATTATAGCACTACTGGGGCTGATGATTTAGCTCAGTGGCAAAGCGCCTGCCTGGCAAGCGCAAGGTCATGAGTTCGGTTCCTGGTACCGGAGAAAAACCAAAAAAAAAAAAAAAAAAAAAAAATTATAGCGCTACTAATTATGAAACAGAAAAAGTGCAAAAGGTGGAAAAGGCAAAGACAAAATTATAACTGGCTCCTCAAGGAAAGGGAAAATTTTGTCAGAGATTTATTATCTAAATATAATATTTTGTGTTATAAAGATTTATTATATTTTTGTAATTTGGATGGTATCATATTAAGATAAACATGACGCTAGTCCAGATGAAAAAGAGGTAGCATGATGTTCTGGAAAAAACATGAACTTTAAATTTGAACGATGCAGATTGAAGTTTCTGTTTTACTTCCAGTTGCACATGTTGGGCCATGTAGAAGCACCTTTCACTTAATTTCCTGCAAAAACTTTCTGCTCATCTTCCTCTCTCTCCTAACATATCTTTTCTTCTTAAGTGGGAGCAATTCTTCTAGAATCAGATCTCACCCCGTAATTCTGGTGATTTAAGGTCTTCATTGTCTCCCTTTGCCTACAAGATTAAGATATGGTCCCCGACATGCCATATAAGGACCTTGTTAACCTGCTTAGTCCCCTGAGCTTTTGTCAGCTCTCCTGTTGGCCTGTTCAGTGGCCCCTCGGGTGTCTCAAGTGCAATGGCTGCTTCTATTTACCACAGCATTTGCTGTCTCTGAGCAGCAGGGAGTAGGTACGCTGGCGGCTTGTTCCAGTACTCTATTCCCAGCTTCCAGCAAACTTCTTGACCTAGAGTAGATAATTAAGGAAGCACTTCTGGGGTGAATGAATTAATGGATGGATGGTTATTTTGAAAAGTAGATCATCTGATAAATTCTTACCTCAAAGTCAGTTGTTATGATTTCTACCCTTCTCTTTTCCCAGAAATCACCTGCTAAGAAGCTCACCAATGCTTTAAGCAAGTCTCTGAGCTGCGCATCCAGCAGGGAACCTTTGCACCCCATGTTCCCTGATCAGCCTGAAAAGCCGCTCAACTTGGCCCACATCGTGTAAGTGTCTCCCCATGTCCCCCGGGACGGTGCTTCTTTCTTCACAGATATATGCCTGGAGCCATCAAACACATATCAGTCATCAAACACTGAGTTTTAAATTTTACTTTAAAAAATAATCAAAGTAATGCTATTATACATTTTCTTGTTGAGCTGCATGGTACCTTTGCCTGGCCATACATGTGCTCAATGTTAACATAATTTACCAAGAGGCGGAAAATATCGTAGATGCTGTGGTATAAAGTATGGATGTCAGTGGAGTTTGTACACCTGGAAGTTAACAATCCATGAAATGACTGCGGTTTTCAAAAATTTAGGCATATTTTATCATCACCTTATATGTGCTTTGAATTCCAAATTGAATGCCAGCAAACCTAGGAGGTGCTTTGTTTTGTTTTTTATTTTGGTTTTGGTTTATTCCAAAGTACCTAACCTCAGAAAAATCTATGATCTAGCCATGAGAAGGTTGAAGATGGAAACAGGTGGGAAAATTCATTGGAATGAAAAGAATAATTCTCCCAAACTCAAACCTGAGCAACCAAGGTAACAGGGAGCTTTGGGGAAAGAAAGTGCCACTCCCTTGATGTGAAAATGACCTCAGGAAAAAAATGAAGCGCATTACCTGTTTCCATGAAGTTAGAGTGACGTAGTCACAGGTTTCTTCCAGAAGCCTCTGAAATACATGGTTCCTCCTTCTTGTGGGCCACCTTTTGTTTCCCACAGTTCAGTGAGACCAACTATACTGAAAGTCCTATGTTTGCAGGTTGACACTAACAAGTATGCTGATGTACCTCCCAGTGTTAGGACTGGAACCACTTATGAAAGCTGTAACCCTTTTTTCTGATGGGCCTAAGCAAAATACCATCAAATCATTTGTCCTGCATCACAACCATGAGCTGCATGTAAATACCACAGGGTGTTGTGCTGTTTTCTCCTGAGTGATCTTTGAAGAATCACTGACACCAGCAACACATACAGAATGGAGGCTCCTGTTTCTCAGGCAGCATAATGTTCAGAAAACGGATGTAAACCAGTTCTCTAGAATGTAGTTTATGTATTTTGGAAATTATGCTCCTAAAAATAAACCAGGAGTAAATAAATCTGGGGAGAGTCCCAAGGGGCCAAGCACTCCAAAAATCTCCTTCATTGGAGTTGTTCATATTACAGTCTGCGTGTCCCTTCCCATAGCCAGCTAGAGACCGTCACCAAGTTGCTAGTGAAGGAGCACAGCAAAGTGAGAGCAAGCCAGTGCTCTGTGTGTTTTGCCCAGGTCAGTTTTACCAGACCCCCTAAGAGGTTCAGCCCCTGTACATGCGGAGTGCTGATGGGAGCAAACTGGTGCCAATGCATGCAGTAGAAAGCAATGAGACCTGGTGAATTAAGTCACTTTCACAGTGCATCACACTGCACATACTTAGGCCAGGGCTTTGTACGCAGTAGATGCTCAAGATCGATGAGTGTGTGTGCGTGTGTGTGTGAGAGTGTGCGTTTGTGTACATGATTTAGCTTAGTATAATTTTTAGTATTCTAATTTATAGAGGCAAATGACCTAATGTGTTATTCACTGAATTGTCTGAGGGCAATATTGCTGTAATAGGTTGTTTGGGAGAATTGTTTTGTTTTAATTTGGTTAGATTGGAGGGGCTGGGGTCTGAACCCAAGGACTCATGCAAGCTGACTCCAGACCCCCAATAGGTTCTATATTTGGGGTCCAACAAGAAATTTCATGATTCTATTAAATTTCTGTACAAAACATGCCTTTTTCTGAGAAAATTTGAATATATTCAACCAGATTGCCAAAAAAGGTTTTTGATCAAAATGCAGATCTATACTCACTGATAAAATATTTTTATAGGGATGTTATAAATGTCTTAACTTTAAAATACAAAGGTATGAAATATGAAATTGTTAAAGTAATACCCAAGAAATTCTGGATGCAGAATGTCCAATCTACATTATAACAGGATTTTTTTCTATTTTTGGCTATATAAAAATTTTCCTATACATATTTTTAGCCAAATGCTCTTGTATTAAATAGTTATGCAAGTCTTTTGGGAGGTAGTCTAAGACTTCAGTTCTAAACTATGCTGCTGATCTAGCTATTCTAAATTAACATAAACACATAAAGACTCTAAATGTTTAGCATATAATTTAATCTTTTTACACACACCCTCTTAATCTGCTATAATGAACATGTATTTGAGTTAAAGAATATTCAGACTTCTTCCAAATGTATATACATGTAGTTCTGATACATCTGACAAAAATAAATGGCATTCCACAGCATGTCCTTTTATTATAAGTCATTCCATCACTTTTATAGAGTGTTGTACAATAGAAATAAGTAAAGATGAACACTTGAAGAAATAAAACACACCAATACTCCCAACCCTGTTCCCCTTAATACAAAATATGGCTTCAGCATACAAGTCTAAAGTAGAAGAAATAGTACCATAGCACAGTAGTATATAATATGATACTTTAGTTTTTAAGTTTCTAAGAAAGACCATCCTGAAATATGTTCCCTTGTACTTTCCCAAACAAAATATTAATCAATTTGTTAATTATGGTATAAGTGGTATCTTTATCATTCCTTGAACACATGTTCATGTAGGTTTTCAAAGATATCATATATAATAACATATATATACACATATATATACACACATATACACATATATATGTGTATATATTATATATATACACACATGTATGTGTGTATAATATATATCATACACACATAGATAAGCTCACACACAAAGACAATACAGGAATAGTGAGTGGGGTATGAGCATCAGCAATATTGATAGGAATATTCTGTCATGTTCTGGGTGACTTGTAGTTTGGACAACTAAGAATTATAGCACAACTATAAACATGAGTGTACATATATCGCTGTGATACGATGTTTTCAGTTCTTGTAGGAAAATACCCAGAAGGGGAATAACTGGATTGAATGGGACCTCGAGACCTGGTTTATTGAGGAATCTCCAAACTGATTTCCACAGTAGTTTCACCAGTCTATACTCCCACCAGCAGTGGAGAAGGGTTCCTTTTTCTCCACAGCCTCACCTGCATTTATTGGTTGATTTCTTAGTGATAGCCATTCTTACTGGGGTGAGATGGAATCTCAGTGCTGTTTTAATTTGCATTTCACAAATGACTAACGATGTTGAACATTTTCTCATGTATTTATTTGTCATTTGTATTTCTTTATCTGAGAAGTGTGTGTTCATCTCAGATGCCCATTTTTGGATTGGGTATTTGTAATAGCTGAGTCATGGAAGCAACCCAAATGCCCATCCACTGAGGAATGGATAAAAAAGTTGTGGTATCTTCACATAATGGAATATTACTCAGCTATAAACAAAGACAATCTCAAGGCTTTTAGAGGAAAATGGACACAACTAGAGACCATACCCATAAGTGAAATAAATCAGACCTGCATGTATAAACACTGTATTATCTCATTAGTGTAAGAACCTGAAAGAGTGACTAAAATCTAGGAGGTATAATAGACATTGTGAAAGG